AGTGAATCTAAATGGTTATCGATATAAAAAAACAACTAAGGTGCACGTTTTTATGCTGGTAATTCCTAATCATTCCCAACGTATTTTATTTGAAACGTGTCCTCTCTTTCCAGGCCTGACGGAATTTCTTTGAACAATACAAGTGAAGTATGCGCGTATTTCCGTACACGCTATCCAAACATCACTGATGCAAAGAATTATGAGGAACTAATTACATCCACCTTCATCTTCGAGCCTACAACGGAAGCACCATCCTTGGATAATGGCCCAAATTTCCTCACTTCCGCTCAGCCACAGGTGTCTAATAGTTCCTCCAACAGTTCTATCGTGAGCACGTCGAATGGACTTTCTCTCCTCTCTGATAACGGTACAAAATCGAACTGTGAGTGGTGCATTCTACGTTGAATCAATCTGATCAACCATGTTTATTCTTTTAATGATACTTGAGTTGGTAATTGTAAGAGAACAAGAGTTCTTCTTTTAGGTTTCGTTGTATTGGCAGAGTTAGACCATCGGTCCCGTTCCATTTAGTGCATGTGATGACCGATCTTGCATCTTATTTTGGTTCTGTTGGTTTCCTGTTTAATAAACGAAAATTAGGCTACTTTTACTGAGATGCACCTATCGCATCTTTTTCAAGTATGTTACTGTGACACGCATAACCTCAGCATTAGTCGTCCGGTTAGTCCACCAGATTCGTGCAATGCGATATAGACAGCGGTGTTCAAATGCCGATAGTCTATTTTTACACTGTTCTCGTAATGGCCAAGTCTCTGAACCGTAAAGCAGCACTGGCCGAACTGCCGCAGCATATACTCGACCCTTTACAAACAGCCGGATGTCGCGACAGTGCCGCAGATGTCTCAACTTGGCAAATTCCAATCGAGCCTTTTGTATTCGCGCCGACACTTCATCTGTGTTACGTTCGTTAGGTGAGATATAGCTGCCCAGATAGCAAACTTGTCTACTGCATCTACGAATTCCCCAGTCAGGGTGAGGTTGGGGGCTGGACCAACCCAATCTTGTAACAACGCTTTACAATTTGAAGGTGCAAAGCTCATGCCGAATATAGCTAAACCACCACTCAAACTATCCGGAAAAGCTTGCAACTTACCTGGATCTTCAGTTGGCAATATAATGTCGTCTGCATATTCTAAATTAGACAGTCTACCACCCGGAAGAAACTCGATGCGTGAAGAGGAATGGAACAAAGAAGAGTGTATGGTAGCTCCATCTACAAAACCATGAACTGGATTTAATGTTGAAGAAGGGTCTATAGTGAACATCAGACAAACTGAACGGAAAAGTAAAGAACTTTGGGGGACATCAGCATTCATAGGCATAGAACGAGTCATGGTTCGATCTACTCGAATGGTCATGCTGTGGTTCTTAAGATAGCTTACTGTCCGCAGGAAAGCCGAATCGGGCTAGTTTTGCTAGTATACCTGACTTTTTCATACCAGCCGGGTGCGCACCAGTCCGTAAAATTCAACTATTGTTGATATGCAGTTTCACTGTTGCCGTGCTCGATACCGCCCCTTTCGAACTGGGGTCTTCATATTTTGCCACATCTGTAGTTATAAAGTTGACCTAGCTGGTGTATGCAATAATTAATAGCCCAGTGTCCTGACATTTTTATATCACTATTCCGTCGTACTTTAAAGTTCATGTTTGATCATTCCTTGGTTCCCGTTTGGCTTCGCTAAAGATCGCTAACATGGACAACATTACCTAACTGGTAGTTTCATGTATATGTACTCAAGTTGAACGATTTTTGCGGTTAGTTCGACCCATTCTTCCTGGTGATTGGCGGATTGGCAAATTATACTGCTCCTTATAAGGTTATCTTAGCCTCCCGATATTTACCTTTATATAATCCACAGTTAACAGTATTACTAAGTGCTGCAGTTGTATTCACTGTCATTCGGAGAACTCATTCCAGATATTGATGATATAAATCTAGGCTGCAACCGTCCATACCGTTCAAAGTTTCCATTTGATTCGATGAAACGCTTTTCCCTTTTTGTTGGTAATTAATTCACTTACGTTTTGGTTCAGATGGTTACTGTTTGCCTTGAAACATTATCCCACCAATTGATCCATGGATGAAAATATACATGGCTACTAGGACCTATGTCTACCTACCAGATTCTTTCCTATTGTGAATCACCACTCCCCATGGTTATTCCGCATTTTGCTCTGATTCACCGTTGTACCAGTTGGTGCACTAGTGAGCCGAAGCTGCCAATGGGTGTTCGCCCACCGCTCGTCATCACCAGTTCTGTCAAGAGATTGGTTCAATACATGCGAACAACGAATGAATCTGTTTAACGACGCAATACCACCAGTGGTCGACAGAGTAAAACAACGTCTGAGAATCATACGAATCAAGCCACATGGTCGTATGTACACGGTGAATTCAGTCACCCTAGTTTGTTTTTGTTAACCATGGATATCCTAGTGCTAATCGTAGTCTGATGGGAACTTTGTAGAGTTTCGTTGTGCAGGAGTCACAAGTAAGATAAACCTATGCGATTTAAACGACAATATATGTTGTCTATTAGATCGCGTTGTGAATCGCAGGGGACCAACCCTGGGGGTTTGCATTTCTTTCCTCCATTCTGTGTACGAAATGGGGATCAGACAAAGTGATTTTATGCCATTCTCTTGTGAAAAATGTTTAGTGAGTGCTCTGATTTGTTTTCCCCAGTGAATATTTCAAACTGTCTGGTTTTGCAGCAGTAAACTACGAATAGGACTCGACGGGGTTGTGATGTACAGGATTACTGATACGTGTCAGCTTGTCCGATTTTTTTTCTACTACCAACTCTCAAAATTGCATTTGTCTCCTCTGAGATCTGTTGTGTGAATTGTTCCGTCATGATCACTCACACTCATGTTACGTTAATCATCGTGCGTCGTCACACACGCACCGTAACTTATGAATCGCTTGCAAAGTGAGGAATAGTGTGTTGCACAATTAGTAACACAAGAACAAATTTTTATTTTGATTCTTTTAGCTATGTGTTGATTACACTTATGTGTTATTCCTCTATTTGTTTTACAGCATCTACCTGTCGGATTGCATTCAATCCAAGCTTTGTGCGGAGCAATGGCTCTAACCTATTGGCGCGGAAGTCAACCTCAGAGTCGATCACCGAGACTGTGGCGCCAGCTCCTAATCGGTCCTCACAACCGGATGATTCGGATACCTCAAAGGGTAGTTCATTCAATCGGGAAATGCCTTTGTCTAGCCCTTCAAACTCGACGGCTCCTGAGACTGTATCTGCTTCACCGAAATCGGCACAAAACGGTAGCGAGTCAGCCACAGATCTCGATCCGAAATTCGACCCCAAAAACGGTTCAACGGAACCTTCCGAAAATACCGAAATCTCGGTTTCAGAAAGTAGCGTATCAAATGCGTTAATCCCCAAAACCAACAGTTTGTTGACGGAAGACAACTCATCCAGTGCTGTAAAACCTGGTGATCAGAACAATATTACTGTTTCATCTAACAGCGAGACACCGATTTTTCAGGCTGATTTGTCCGTACAATTAGCTGGTAGTTCGCATCTCAACTCGAGTACCTCAGAGGATACTGGAGTTACACGGATGAGCACGGAAACCCTAACAACCGGCATTCTCAATACAACCATTCCTTCCTGCGGCTCGACTGTAATTCCGTCAGTCATGCCATCAGTCGGGAGCAACGACATCAGTCTGTTAGCTCTTGCGGGTTTGGTATCAGAACCTTCTTTGCTTTATTCCTGTGGGAATGGAGAGATGGCGACTGCCGGTATGTCAGTTAACCCCCTGTTAACTAATTCCCGATTAGCACAGGCTCAAGCTCAGCAGCAGCAGCAACAACAACAACAACAGTTGTCGGCCTTGATTTCCGCCTTGTCGGCGGGATCCGCCAATCCCCAACCCACTCTTCAAACACCTGCCTCATTATTCGGAAACAATGCTCAGTTTAACCCTCTAATTTTGGCTGCTAATCCACAGTATGGCGTCACGTGGTCCGCCGTGGGATCCACGCCCGTTTCCTGGTCTGACCTCAATGGATCATCTGTGATGTCTACCTTGTCTGCATTACAACAGCACCAACAACAACACCAGCAGCAGCAACAGCAACAACAGCAACAATTGGCTGCAGCGGCCGCCTTACAACAACAACAGATCCGGGCTGCCTATGCAGCTCAAGCTGCGGTCCTCCTTCAAAGGCAACAAATTCTAGCCACTCAGCAGCAGCATCAACAACAACTAGCAATGGCAGCAGCCGGTCAAGTTCAAGCTTACCTTGCTGCTCTTCAGCGTAACCTATCTATCGGTTAATTGTTCGATATCTTACGTGAATTTTACCAAGTATATCCGGACAAAGAGCCAGCAGATCCGGATGGCACACCTGATGATTCCTTGCCGAAATTCTTGTCATCAAATTGTGTATCCGAATCTCCTTCCCTCGTCGTTCACCATCAGCTAAACCTGTATATGCATATCCCTTATTAGTAGACTATTCGTGCACAAGGACCCAACAAAAACAACGAGTACCCGGTTAACCACACTGGAACTCATTCAGTGAGTATGTCGGCCTCTAACTGAAATGCCAGCAAAGAATCATTTGTTTTTTTCTATTCACTGTTTTCAATTCTGTTAGGCGAAAGATACCAAAGCGTTTTCAATAATTACATGTATGTTTTACGATAGTGTTCTGCTGTTTCTTTAGTTAACTTCTGGGTTGAAAAGTCATTCGTTAGTTTTCACCCGCCTCAAGCGTTGTCAAATGTATTGAAATTAGATGTTCACTAAACTGTCTCACAGACTTTAGTTGAAATGGGATGTAAAAGTTAGAGCTGTCTACATATATTCACGAGCGACTGTCGCGTTAAACAGCTCAATGGTTTACTCACGTATCACTTGTTCAGACGATCAGAAAGATGCGCTCAGTGAGCAACTGATCACCATTGGTTCACGACGGTTTTTGAACCATCTCCCTTTACCTACCTTCAACCAGGATCCGGTGTGAAGACCAAACAAAGCAAACCGTACTGAACATTTTCATTCAATCACTGACGATTTTTCTTGTCTTTATCGAGACCAGTTACGTGATTGAGCCTGAGAGATTTGGTTTGAAATTTGGATTGGTCCTTCCGTGAACTACATTAGAAACACTGGAGATAGTAAAACGTCACCAGTAGTTTATATATACATGCGTTAAACCTGGACATCAAGGCTTTTTCATCGGATATACTGACCACTTTGACTATTTCGATTGACCTTCAGCTGTTTACTTCATACCAATGCCCGTTCGTAGTAGGACAGTGCTAAGGGGTCCGTACTTCAGGGAGTTGATCACTGTTAAATTTCTGTTAGTCCAGCTACAGCCATAGCTAGGTGTGATGTCACGGTAGATGATATATTTACTCTTCGCGATGAATCTGCATTTCCTGGCCAATAATGTTGATGATTTATGAGTTCGAAAAGATCGCTTTTGCTATATGTTCTGTCCACGCAGTGAGATCAGGTCTCAGAACGACACTTTGGTCAACGGTGCGATGTTATAGGCGAAGTTAATTCGTCGGTAGCATTGTGTTTCGGCCCTAATTGGCATACAATACCGGTATATTCTTGTGCAGGATAGAGCTGCCCTGATCGCCTGGTACTATCACCACCCTTACCTGTCGAGATGTGTGACCTTCACTTTTCTCGGGCTCAGGTCTAAATTCACCGGTTATTAATTTCCACCAATAAGTTTCCTCTTCTACTGTGGGACGTTCAGTTCAGTTCAGTTTGTACAACCACTAACCAGGCACCATCGTGCGTGCAGTAAATAATATGGTCTGTTCCTCTTTTATCACACATTTTTGTATGGTGAACAGCATACGGGGCGAACCCCCGTAGTCACGAAGACCTGCTGCTCCGTCATGGAGACCGGTGACGTAAACCCCGGGACTTGGAGTGGCGAACCACATAAGGCCCCGCTAGGTCAGGCGTGGTGTAGAACCGGACGACAGAAAAGATGCCTACCACCAAGGTTGGTTGGCGGTATCAGTGGCGGGGCTCGGACTACAGAGTCCAAAGCACACCGGTGACAGCGACTAAACCACTGTGCCACCTCCCTGGATTCTTTATTCTGACCTAATCCTCCATTCTCTCTTTAGATGAAAGTAATCGAGGTAAATGAACTGGTCGGAATTGCAATAACGCTGACCGAAAACATGGGGTTTCTAAAGTGTACGCATGCGGAAAACGCACATTAACTGCACTTTTCTGTCCTACGAGTTCTACTAGTCTTGTGATTTTGCGGCTCTGTTTGCTCTCTTTTGAAGGAATCCAACCACGAAGACTAAATTCGGAAAGCGCTGTTAGAAGAGAGAGACCAGTTTCCAAGTGTTCCAAACTGCCCAAATGTTTGAGTATTTATTTCGTTTGATTTACGGTGTTCATCGTGTGCATTCTATCTTGTTTGGCGTACTTGTGAATTGCACAAAACGCTGCATAGGATATCATCCTCATCATCATGAACTGTCGGTTGCCTATTTGTTTAGCAGTTTATTTTGGAGATCTCACGAAGGAGACAATGCGAACCGGCAATTATCGAACGTATGGTGCTTTTTTCTCAGGTGTTTTTCCACAATCTAATCGTCACTTCTCCGAGTGAATCAACTAGGTTTGTAGGCGGCTTCCTGTCTCGGGATTAGTCGACCTCATAGAGGAACGCATTAAGAATCATGGGAATATGGTGTTACTAAATGGTATCCTTAGTATGGTTTAGCCTTTTGCTCCGAGGATGTTTCTAGTCCTTGCGCAGCCCACTGCCGTCTGTAGGACCACAGGGTGATGGGTCAGACTCATGCACGTGAAGATTTTTTCTAGGGACTTACAGCTTCCTCATTGAGGAGAGGGGTCACACATCAGGGGAAAACGCATGACGTTCTCGGGTCCGCCCCGTCTCATCGACAGTCGGTTATTCCGTAGAGCGATTCCCATCTGTTCACAACTAACCACCTAAGTGATATTTCCGCTATGCATGACTTTAGAGATGCGCCGGATTTAACCAGGATTTCTCGTTAGGTTTTATATATACATACATATATATATATATATATATATATATATATATATATATGCAGTACTGGCCGATTGCGATGCACTAAATAATTTTCTTTATGAACAAATGGAGTTTCATTATATTCATCACCTGTAATAATGCTTTAGGTATGGACAATAATTTATATTATATCTTATACTTTATATATATTTTATATATTTATTTTCGAATGTGAAAAAATCAGTGCTATCGGTGTGGCCTCGTAGCTCAGCTGGTACGGCATGCGCGTACAAAGCGTAGGCGGCGTCCATGCGTGGGTTCGAATCCCATATCTTGTCTACTTCGATCTGCGTAGTTTTTATTCTGCATAAGTGTCAATTAAATGTGCCTGACCTTGAGTGCCAATATTAAATGATCTAAAAATGAAAACCACAAACTTTATCAAGTATGGCAGCGTAATATTTTCTAATAGGAATGACACTAAAATTATCCTCAATTATTTCCATAAACCCATCTCGGTTATTTGGTTGGAAACATTAATTTTTCGAATATATAATCAATTATAGCAATTCTATTAGATAACCAAATGAAATTCGTTCACAACCCAGAGAAATTGGATTAAGTAAGGCTTCATAACAATAATCTACGTTTGATATCTAACTCACTGAATTCGAGAAATACCACTTCAATCAAAGTCAACCCGCTATTCATACTCCCTTCTGCAAAGAAGAACGAAGAAATTTAAGATGCGTCAGGTTTTAGCTGAAGTCAAGCCAGCATTGAACGCGCAGCAAAGGCAGGCGCGTATTGATTTCGCCCGAGAATTCAAATCTCGACGTGCGTCATTTTGGCGGTCGATTTATTTCGCCGACGAGTGCATGGTGTGCGACGAGCCTTGGAAAGCTCGCAGAAAAGTCATTTGTGATGAGGATTTCCCAAGAGAACTTATTCCACTAAATGGAAGAGTTTCTTACCCGTCGTGTTCATGCAACTTCCCCCTAAGGGCCCGGATCTCAACATGATTGAAAATATGTTTTCTGTTTTGAAGAGAGAAGTCAATGTGCTACCTATATATTGGACATTGGAGGCAAAGTGGGACACGTAATGGAGCACACAATAGAAAGTAATTTCATAACAAAGTTGGTGGATGCCATGCCGAAGAGACTCGAAAAGTCCTAAAGAACAAAGGCAGACCAATCGACTGCTATTGTGCATAAACCTCACATCTTTATTATGAATATTAATTTGTTGTAAAAACACTGTTCCATTCTCTTTAGTTGCCTCTTAACTCATCCTGGTCTAGGTCAACCACTATTAACGAAATGGGAGTATCCGCTTCATTGGGAACCATTCCATCTGCTGAGTATAAATGAATCATAAAAAAATCACACGTATAAAGACTCACTAAGGCTTGTTTATTATTATTTGGAAAAAATTACCTCAGTATAAACGCTGTTCCCTATACAAACCAACGAGTGTTTCACAGGAACCCGTTGCTTCAGTTTTGATTATATATATATATGAGTGAACTGACTAAAGATTACTGGATACGCATGCCTGATGAGCAGGAAGAACCGCGATACTGGTCGTGCTTCCAGGAAAGTTTTGTCTAGTCTAGCTGAAGCTGTTGGCATCTGTTTGACTACGCAGACCAAACCCATTTCGCGAAAGACATCCGCGAAGAGCAGACCGGGTGTCGTGCACGCCGTGGTTGCATAGGCCAAATCTTCACCCTCCGTCAGCTACTAGAACACGGCCACGCTTATAGACGGCAAACTATTGTCGTGTTTTCGGACTTCAGAGCGGCCTTCGACCCTATCGATCGACCTGCACTGTTTTCAGAGTGCCCGAGAAGTATGTTCTACTTCTAAAAGCACTACCACCAGACCTCGGGGAATGTTAAGGCCTACGGTAAACGTTCAACTTCATTTCTTGTCGCCAGTGGTGTGCGACAGGATTGCTTTATTTCTCCGTTTCTCTTCAATTTTGCCATAGACGATGTTCTGCAAAGAGCATTACTTAACGTAACGAACGCTGGAGACAGAGTCGTAGAATTAGAGTACGCCTTACTCGGTGACAACGCACCGACGACTCAATACTTCCTGAATCGGTTGGCAATCGAGGTTACCCGTTATGGTATGTCCTTTACACCTTAAAAGTACAAGGTGTTGTTGCGAGATTGGCAGGAACCCGCTCCTGCAATTGCTATGGGTAACCACACTCTAAAAGTATTCAAGAGCTTTGTCTACTTCGGGAACTATATAACGGCTGGCGGAGGTGTGAG